ATTCTGGAAAGCCTTAAAGACTTCACTATTTACCCAGGCCTTGGAGTAGGGTGAATGCTACTCCCATTTGTGATGTTTTATGTTTGCTTTGTTGTTGGATTGCCATCTTGTGATTGTTTTATAGTTATTTTGTACTTGATAGTTTTTGGGGTTTTTTGGTATTCTGCTGTTTTTATGTTATTTATTGTAGTGAACACTCAGGGTTGGTTGGTGAGCAGGATCCAAATTGAATAAATTAATAAAATGAGCAGTACTGTTTGCTATGTAAGGGCATTTTGATATGCCCTTCCCCCTTAAGTGTATGGCACTTTAAGCAATTTCATACTCTTAAACTAAAGGACCTGCTTCTAATGTTTTGCAGGCAGAGAAGGATAGTTATGAAGGCTGGTCATAACAACAGGGTGTCCATCATAATAAATGTACTACTTATTGGGGGTAATTATTCTTAATTCCAACTTTTCGCTTACAAGTTGATTTAAAATGAAGTCCCACAGTTGAATGGGGCTTACTTTCAAGTAAATATAGAAAGGCTCACACTTCACAGGTTTTTTTTTTCTAACTGCACAAAACCAGAGAGAATACTTTTTCAAGATCTGTTCTAAATTAGGTTTCATGCTGCTAACATTAAACTGCTAGCATTCGGTTACTAATAGGGAAACAGTTGAATCTGAACCAATAAATGTAACATTGCCCGAAGTATGGATTGTGACACACCACTAGTCCCACAAACCCCTTAGTGGTCTATGCCAGTTGGTATCAGTCAAGGCATCTGAACCCAGGCAAGATCCTCATGTGGCAGGACAGCTGGAGGTAACAATTCTTCAGGCTGGGAACACACTTTATTTACATTCCAGTTTTAAATAGAAGATCTAATTTTTTCCTAAAAGAAAGAACTTACATCCAGAAGGAGGAAAATATCGACCATTTTTTCATTTGAAAACATTATTTTACAATTACATCTTTACAAGTAAAGATGTTATCAGTGCAAAGCAAGCACGAGCTAAGAAGAAAGATATTTTAAAAATGGGGGATGGGCAAGATGTTTTGTTTAAATATTTGGAAAAATATAAGAAGAAGAGCTGGTGGAAATATATACCACTATTCCAAGATGTGGGTGAAAAGAGCATGAAAAACTATATTTACATTTATTTAAATGTTATCCCCAAAAGCTCCCATTAAGAGATACCACTATTCAAAGGCAAACATCTTAAGTCAGCATTTTTGCAATGGGCACTTCACCAGCCTTACCACAACATAACTTGAGTTAATCAATAACAGACCATGGGGTCAGTGACTGTTTTTGGAATTTAAAATATGCTGTTTTTTTAGTGCTGGGAAATATCTATAATAATGAATGCAGATATAATGATGGAGCTCAGATACAGAAAACAATCATGCAATCTGATCCAATTCCTACTTACTGGTAAAAAAAGTAAAACATACATGAGATTGTAATTTTGATCTCATATTCAAATTATAACTGCTGATATCTTGGAAGAGTTTATTTATTTATTTGTTTATATCCTGCCAAAATCATAAGCAGACCCTTGGCAGCTCAGAACATAAAACAACACAATACATAATGATAGAAATAAAAATACAAAAACTTATAGTATCTGGTATGCAGCCCCCAAATGAAAAAAAAGCTGTTTTTAGAAAAGCTGTTTTTAGCAGCTTCTGAAAGATAAGTATGTTAGAGGCCAATTGCACTTTCTATGGCAGGCCATTCCAGAGGACTAGCCTGATTTCAGGGGGGGAAAAACACTTATCTGAGCTTCACTTCCTCCCAACTTCTCAAAAATAAGGGACAACCAGCAGTTTCTCTTGGCATGATCAAAGTGGTTGGGCTGATTCTAGTGGAGAGATGTTGTTTTGTAGGTAACCTGGTGCCAAGCCATAAAGGGCTTTGTATGTTAAAACAGGGTTTCCAAAGTGGTTAATACTGACACCCAAGGGCCGATGGGACTATCCAAGGAGTTGATGTTGTTAGTAGTAGTAGTAGTAGTACTATTAAAGTAGTATTAATTTAATTATTTTCATATAATAAATGTTTGAGGATCAATGAACTATCTGAAACTTCATGAAGGGGTCAATGAGCTAATGAGTTTGAGGACCCTTGGGTTAAAACCACCACTTTAAATTTGATTGGAAGCTAATGGGAAGCCAATGCAGGACCTGCAAATAGCTGTAATATGCCAACAGCAAGCACCTATTTTGCACCAACTAAGCCTGGTGGTCTTTAAAGGCAGCCCCATGTACAGTGAGTTGCAGTAGTCTAGATGAATGGTAATGAGGGCATGAATCCCTCCTACTCCAAGTAAGGCCACAATTGGCACACCACCTGCAACTCCGGAACAGGCCCTTGGCCATGGCTTCCACCTGCTGATCCAACAGGAGCTGTGAATCCAGATGGGCCTCTTAATCATGCACCTGCTCCTTTGGGGGCAGTGCAACCTAATGCAGAAGAAAACACAGGAGACATGGAAGAATCCTGATGCACAAACAGTAGCTTGTCTTACTAGGGTTCAATTTGAGCCAGTTCTCTACCATCCAGACTCCAAGAACCTGCAGGCATTGGGACAGAATATAAACAGCATCTCCAATGGAGCATGGGCTTGGTTATACAGCTGGGTATCATCAGCATACTGATGGTATCTGACCCTGAAGTATCCAGGATGCTTAAGGCTCAATTTTGCCCTTTAAATCTTCCCAAACTGCAAAAGGCAGACAAAACGTTTCACTCCATCTATTCAGCCACACATTTTGCATCCCTGTTCTATGTAAAAGAACTGTGGGAAAATATTGACTTTTTAGAAACATTTAAAATATATCACAAAAAATGTGAATATGTATTATTGCCATCTCAACAATATTGGTGTTTAGGAAGCAATTTTAAGTCTGATAACCATCAAAGGAAGAGAGTAGTTCATTTTCCAAAAGACATAAGTAGGAAATAAAGTGCTTCGTCATGTACTTCAGCTAGACTGTGTTTTTACTCATTACTGTTCTGCTCAATAATTATCAATCCCTCTTTCTGAAGACTGCTAGGCATTTTCTTATTGACTTCTCACTTTATTAATACCTATCAAGCAATGGCTGGTTTAACACATCATGTAAGCCATAACACAGTGTTATTGGATTTCAACTTCTATGATGTGTGAACCTAGCCAATAGAATAGTTTTCTGAAGACATATGTAAGGCTCTACTGTAATAACACATCATTTTATGAACAGGAAAGCCATCCATGGAATATGGAATGTATAAATATTAGTGTTATAATATTCACACTAAATTTTATAAATAAATTTCAAATACTGCACTGGCCACATAGATTGCTTACCTTTGGTGTAGTGGTTAAGATGCTGGACCAGAAACTATGAAACCATAGTCCTTGGGTTACAATGGCAATTGGGACCAGAATTTCCATTGATAAGTGATACAGTAGTAAAGCATAATGTCATATGACCACATTGCTTACCAACAGAAATCCCTGCAATCCCAGTTGCCATCATAACCCCAGGACCACGCGGGTTGTTAAGTGAGAAGAGGTGGGAGTCCCAGGGAAGCAGGCCAGCAGGTGAGAGCTGCAGGTGAAGGCTACAGGTGGGTGGGTGCCATGGGCAGGTGCTACAGAGCGCAGACAGGTGTGCAGATGCCATGGTCGGGTGGGGATGCCTTGAGCAGGCACTACAGAACACAGGAGGCAGAAAAAGCAGTGGGAGTGACTTGCGACCTCTTGCTGGCTTCCCCATTGCTTGTGTGAAGCCAGCAGGGAATGTCGGAAATTGCGATCATGTGACCATGGCTTGCTGCAACATTGTAATTGTAAGCCGGGCCCTGACCACCTGGATCGCAATCACGTGACCGCGGAGTTGCTGCAATGGTCGGAACTCTGAGGACCAGTGGTAAGTCCCACTTGTTCAGTGCCATTGTAACTTTGAATAATCGCTGAAGTAGTCATAACCCAAAGACTACCTGTAATCTCTCTCACCCCAATGCACCTCACAGGGTTGCTGTTATGGGAAAAATAGGAGAAAGGGACAATACACCTTGAGTTGTAGAAAATAAAGGTGGATATAAATTATACATATAATCTTGCTGATTTAGACCAGTGTTTCCTAATCACAACTCACTAAAAATAAGATTTGGAGTCAGCACAGGATCAGGCAAGGAGAGATATGCAAAGACCATAGGATTTTCAACCTTACTCTGTTAAATGTCTATATAGTAAAATCAATTCAGTATCAATTCCCACATAACTTTTGAGATATTGGGAGAAAGTTACAGTACATCTGTTAAACAAATGATACACTATCATTAATCAGAAGAGAAGACTCCCACAAATAAAATTTCAGTTTTAATTAATCACAAAAAGACACTTATTTACTTCTGTTATTCATAAGGTAGCCATCAGTGCTAATCACCTCCTTTTTGCTGAGCTGCATTTATTAAGTCTGGCTTGATTTTTCTCCCTAGCAATCAAGCACTCAATTACCCATTCTAATTCCACTGTAACATTTCTAAATCTAATGACATGTTTCAAGAGTACTTTAATAGTGTAAATGTGCCCTTTTTTCATCTATCTCCAAGTCAGTAAGTATCTCATAATTTATCTGTGACAAATAGTTATGTCGGTAAGGTTTTTTTTTTCCTGGTTAAAGTTTCATTCATCATTTAAACACAATTAGGAAAGTCAGATGTAAAAGGAGGCAGGGTTCCCCCACTGTGAACTGCTGTACAGTATAGAAAACGGAATTTCAACAGCTTTAGCTTACATAACAATCCTGCCCAAAAAGTTAACATCGAAATGTTAAATGGTGCGTCAGGAGGCGGATCTCAGTTTCTCAGAACAGACTTTCTACAGTACTTGTCTCATAAATGCAAAGCTAACATTTGTACGCCTGATAACTACTTCCTCTGAACTGGTCTTACTTCAGGCGAAAGAAATTATGCTACCGTAGAAGAACGCAGGTATTAGCTTTCTGTCACCTGGGCGGTCATGAGAGGCATCGCAGGCGTCGTTAAAACAAACAGGCGCTGCCGCGCTCAGGTTACAATAAGGAACTCGGCTCGGAGGGAGTTACTTCCCCAGGCGCTCAGGGTTAGGGAGGATTCTCCACGCCCCTTTACCCATTGTCAGGGCCACCTCGGCAGTTTCCGCTCCCGCCTCGGCTCCTTTCGCCTGGTTACTCTCCGCCCTATGGGAGAAAGTCGGAAAGT